GGGGCGGCTGAGACTTACCTCCGGGACAAGGTGACCCGGCGAGTGCGTCCAGGCTGCCGCCCGCGAGTCTCCGGAGCGAGTGAGCCAGCGGGGCGCGGGGCGGTGTGGCGCCCGCTCAGCTCCTCCGGTCCAGGGCTCTCTCCCCTGCCCTCCCCTCCCCACCCGTTTGCTCCCCTCCGCGCCACTCCTCTGCTCCCGCCGCTCGCAGTCCTGCTCTCGCTGCACGAGCTCCTGCTGCCCCACGCGCTGGGAGCGCCAGGCGCCGGGCAGCGTCGGCAGTCCCGGCGGCGGGGAGCCCCGAAGCTGTGGCGCTGGGGCGGAGCCCAGCCCTTAGGCCCCCCGGTAAAAGAAGAGTGCGGGCAGTCTATGGAGAGCGCGCTCGGCCGGCAGGTTGGGCGAGGGGCGCTCAGGGGCGCGCTGCTGGCCTCTCTGAGACTGGTGACACGCGTGCCAGAGGCAGTGACCACGAGCTCCGGGGGAGGGTGGCAGTGAGGGCGAGGCAGGGGGAATGGCCCAGCGCGAAGGTAGCCGCCAACTTTGCCCCAGGCCTCAGGGTTTGATAGCAGTCTGCAGGTGGCCCGGGCTGGAGTCTGGGAATGAGGGCGACCGAGACTGGAGGCAGGGGGCAGCCGCCAGGGACTCGGAAGACAGGGCTTTCAGAAGAGATGGCTCCCCGGTCCTAAAGGCCTCCCCAGGCTCTGGTTCAATTTTGAGGTTCCTAAGGGCCCACTTTATAGGTCTGGCATCTGTTCAAGTCCTGATCAACTAAGCATCCAGGTGGAACCTGGGCCCCGTCCTGAATTGGTGTATTGTCAGCTGGAATCTAAAAGGAACTAGGAAGGCTGTAGAAAGAGAGGAGGAGGCATAATCTTGGAGAGGAGAGGGGGTAGACTGAACTGGAGAGAGGGCACCTCCTAAAATCAGTGGTTCAAACATTGGAGGAGGAGAAGGTGTTTTCAGTTTGGATTTGATAGAAAAGGAACTGTGAGAGAAAAAAAGAATGTACCGGAAAGGGGCCTGAAATTATTTCCATAAAAATAAAGCAAAACATTTGTGAACCTATTCCTCCCCAGGTACAGACCTATCAGCTTCTCCCTGGTAGGCTCCACCCTGCTGGCCAAGGCTGATTCCCTGAATGAACTGCCTCTGCAGGACCCTCCCTCTTGCCAAGTCTTTGCTCCTGAGGCATCCAAGTCTTCTGTTGGGTCTCCCATGCTGGAATTGGAGGTGGTGTGAGGACACCAGGAACCTGTAGGTATTCCCTCTGCCGGACTATGTTCTGTGGGACATCGGTACAAATATACTTTGGGTAGACAGTGGGTCAGGGGAACTCACACCATCTGACCTTCGTCTTTATCCACCTGACTTACTTCCCTTCTCCATCTCAGCAGCATAGCAAGGCGCAGCTGGGCTGCTTCCATGCTCCCAGAACCACAAAGCTGCAGTCCAGGACATGTAGAAAAGGCCACTGTACATTGCCCTTCTCAAGTGGAAGGAAAATGCTATCCTACCTGACGACTGTTCCTGGATCTTTTTCTGAACAGAACATTCTTTAATCTGAACCAATGTGTTGACCAGATTTGTTACACTCATTTGAGATGGAAAATCATCATTATTTCCTTGTAGCAGATGAAGAAACTGAGTTTTTTTGTTTTGTTTGTTTTTTTAAGACTGAGATTTGCATAACCACCCACTCCACAGGCATAGCCTGATTCTCAGGCTACCTCTCAGTCAGTGTCCTTTGCTTATCTGGTGTCCAGGTTAGCTCTGAAGATTAGCTTCTTTTTTTTGCCAAGAGACACTGCCCTCTGTTGCAGCTGTGACTTGGCTTTGTCTCTAGAATAGTTTTCATTGTAAGTTGAACTTTTCCTAATACAGCAGGCAGGCTGGCAGGCACAGCATAGAATGCCATGCTGACCACTCATGGTTGGCTGTGGAATGCTCCATCCAAGTGAAGGCTGTAGAAGTTAAAGGAAAAAGATAGCTGTGCACTCACCTCCCTTGTTGAGTTCCCTGGACTGTCTTCATGTCTTACGTACTTTGAACTTTACAGGTTGAGTCTTTGAAACTATACCCTGACAACCCAGATGATGGTGGAACATGTTGTATCATGGGAATGGAGTTATAGGAAGTAGGCTTGCATTGCCTGTGGTTTAGTTTTTCTAACACACCTCACTTGATTATCATTTTCTTCTTTTGTGGCATGGATCTGTAACTTTATGCCCCAGTAATAGGGACCCCATCGGTTACTGGAGTTTATACTTGTGTAGCTCTTTACTTGGCACCTCCAAGCCACTACATGCACACTCACTAGTTCATAGCTATAAAAACACGCACATTGGGTTGAGGGGTCAAAAAATTGTTTTATCTGAAGAGGGTAACTTGAAAGAAAAGGGAAAATCATGATGTTGACGGTATTATTATCACAATTATTATTTGCTATCCCCAAATCATCCATATGGCTTCAAGATCCTCAGATGTATATTGTATAACCCTGTGCCCTTCATACACAGGTACCTCTTAGTGTTTCTGTAATCAAGTGGGCCTTACCTTTAATTGTAAAAGAACATTTCAGGGCCAGGAATTGCAGATAAGGAGAGGGATGTGGCCTGTCCTGGCAAATGATAGTTCAAGAAAAGGATCTAGGATTCCTGCGGAGTGCCCCAGTTGGCCTGGAATGGCAGCTGTACATCTGATGCTTTTCTTAAGTGTGAAGCCTTCACTGTTACTTGCATATAACCGTAACCATTATGCTACAATGTCACAGTGGGGGGTTGTCACCTGTTAGGCAGTGGGACACCAATTGCCAAATCTCCCAAACTGAGTAAACTTATTGACAATGCTGGCTGCTCTGGGGCTGTTTCCATGCCCACAGAATCAGAGGTAGAAGTGAGCCAAGGAATTAAGGTTCTGAAATTCTACTGCATCTCTTATTCTAGTTCTAGACCCATGTTAACATTGCTTCATCTGCATCTCTTATTCTAGTTCTAGACCCATGTTAACATTGCTTCAGATATTACTGGGGCACACAAGTTACACATCCATGCCACAAAAGAAGAAAATGGTAATCGAGTGAGGTGGGTTAGGAAAACTAAACTATAGACAATGCAAGCCTACTTCCTATAACTCCATCCCCCAGTATACATTTGTGCTTCCTGGGCTCACGCATGCACCTATGGTCTCCTGGCAGAGAAGTCTTCCTTATATATCTAGGGATTGGTTGGGTTGGATGGGGGAGATTGGCTAACTCGGTCATTAGCCCCCTCTTCTTCCAGTAGCTGCAGAGGATTCTTCTATAAGTAGAGGCTGCAGGAGGCCCAACAGGGCCAGGCCTTAATGAACATGGTCTTTCATGCTGACCTCACACTTGCTAGTCGTGTTGACCAAGGCAGGTCCCCTGATTGAAGAGATGGGGAAATCACCCCAGTTTTGGATGGCTGAAGCCAAGAAGTCACACTGTGAATGGCATGTGATGGTGGTTATAGGAATTGGTGTCATTCTTGCAACTGATTGCACCTGGGGGTTGAGAGGTTATTTCAACTCCTAATCCCACTGAATCCTGGTTTGAGCACTGTGGGTTTGGAAAGGGCAATGCCAGGAGCTGATTCTTGAGTGCTGGTACTGAGTAACTAATGAGTAAAGGGTGAACTCAGGTCATAACCTTTCTGCAACTTCTCCAGTGGCTATCAGGAGTCCAGTGCCCGTCTACTGCGAAGGTTGAGCTGTCTGAGCCAGGCATACCTACCTGAAAGTAAGCATCTGCCACTTGCTCTCACTCCCTGTCCGCACATGGCAGAGCCTAGGTTTCCACAAACGAGCATAATCACATTACCTGCTGCCCAGCATTGCATGAGGCAAGAATGTGTTCAATGCATCAGTGTGCCTGCCAGAACAGAGATGGGCCAGGCATTGTTATAAAAGACAGTTGGCAAGACAGTCAGTCCTTGCTGGGTTCTTTTTCCAAGAAAGTTGGGGGATGGGAAATGCTAAACTCTTGGTGGCACTTTGATGCTGGTGCTGATGGCCTTCAGGGAGTTTCCTAAGAGGAGTGATTGATAGTATTTATTTATTTATGCATACAGATCTGGGATATGGGCCAAAAGTGCAGGGGCAGTGAGCGGATTCACCAGAGACAGAGTGGGGAGCAGAACAGGTTGATGGATGAAGTACATTGCTGAGGGGAACAGTGGGCGGGTCAGGAGAGGTCTGCTGTGCCATGTGGGTCCCCTCCCTGGCAGGGAATCAAGCTCATGCTGAAGTGGCTTTAGCTTTTTAGTGCTGTGCTTTAACCTTCTGTGCCACCAGGGAGGGCCCAGATAGTATCGCTTTTATCCAAGATTCTTCTTGTTTCTAGGGTCTAGAGACTGAGTGAGGTAGACACTGCTGTGTCCCTACAGGCCCTGCCAGCTTCCTTTGACTGATTCCACCCACCTGCCCCCAGCTTCTGAGGACTCTGCTGCTAGTGGCCCACACCTACATCACTGTGACCTCGGTGTTCCTCTCATTCCTGTGACTTCCTTCATTTCTCTTATGAGAGTGTGAAAATGTGACCTGCCTTTTCCGCTGAGCACCAGACCTATTAGGCTAAGTCTGGAGAGACACTTGAGTATGATGGGGTGAGGCAGCGCAGGTTCTAGCAGAAGGAAGCGCTCCTCAAGAGAATTAGGTCAAATCCAGTTTGTCATGCTCCACCTGCTTGACAGTGAGCCAGCTCCTCAAGGTCAGGGAATAACAGCTTCTTCACTGACAAGATGGGCACAAAGACATTCTGGGTGGAGGGCTAGTCTCGGACACCTGTGGAATGAGTGTGTGCGGCAGGAGCTGTGGTTCCTGGGAGTGTGGTAAAGGAGCAGCTCAGGAGGCACTGGAGTCCCCTCATCTTCCCTCTAGACCCAATAAAGCCAAGATAGCAAGCTCTGTTGCCTGTTCTCTTGGTGTTCTCAACCCACTCTCTGTGGGCATAGTTATCTTGCTTGAGTGCACAACAGCATTCACCTTCACTGGACATGCTGTCATGCCTCGGGAAAGCAGAGATACTGAGAGGATCAGAAAGCATTATTGGGCTAGATCTCCCTTCCTGAATCAGTCTCAGGGCTCAACAGATAGATTACATGGAAGCCAATCCCAGAAGTGAAAGAGCAGCATATGGTCGAGATTAAAGGAAGGGAGCAGTCAGGAGGAACCCCAGAGGTGGTCACCACTGTGGGTGACAATTTGTTCTCAATCCAGTGGGATACCTGATGACTGAAGAGAGTGTTTCTCAGGATGTCCAAACCAGGGAGAAAGAGGAAAGGCATGTCCAGAGACTCCTGGAGTCTTTGAATGCCCCCCCCAGAGCCCAGGGACTCTAGAAGCCTGCATTTCTGGGTGGTGCTTTGATGTGTGCCCAACATGTTCCCTCTGGTACAGGAGAGGTGTCCAGGTGAGCTCTTGGGAAATTTTGCTATGTAATTTACATGTGAAAAATCCTGTGGCGCCTAAGTCAAGATTAAAGATTTGCATTTCACTTCAATATGTTAGGTGTCAAATTGTTCTCTCTTGGAATGTAACACTGTGTTGAGACAGGGTCACAGGTTGCTCAACTT